ATTTTGCTCCCATTAACAAATCAATTTGGCACATCAGCTTTCTGTTACCAATTTGGAACAATTTCTAAGACGGAATAGATCTCCGCTTACGCGTTAATAGCGCGAAATATATCGCGCGTTAATTGTCCCAAATTGGTCAAAATGGCAATAATAAAACCCCCATAACTTTGCAAAAAATGATCACAGGTAAAATGAATATTTTAATTTAAGCCCAGGATAACAATACCTTTCGAATGTTAAAAAAATCCGTCAAAAAGGCTCGTTAAAAAGCCGAAATTTGTCTTAAAAAACACCCGATTTCAAAAATGATTCAAACAATCAAGCTTTATCTCGATGCGTCTTAATCTCACTCAGTGTGTATAAAGAAAAAAAATTGTTGGTAGTCTAAGTAATCTTGGGCATTAATAGAAACTAAGGTTATCATGTCATGAGCATAAATACACTAAAATTTTTATTATACAATGAAAAGCAGAAGCCCAAACATGATTAATTGCAGTTGAAGAAGGATAAATAATCTCCACAATTTATCAATCAGTGATCTTCGTCAGCTTCAAAATATTCCCTGGGTACTCATAGTTCTTAATCTTATACTCGGTGTGATTTTTGCCGCAAAGATCGTCGCATAAAATAGCATCTGTTCCCATTGTGCATCTGAAGTAAACGTTTGTAGAGCCATATCTGTTCATGAATGGGACAAGCAGTGGCGTTAGTAGAGTACCATCTACGACACTCTTCAAATTCAACTCATACACCTGAGAAGTGAATACCTCATTTGTAGCGTGTGATGTAAATAGATATCCTTCTCCACTTTGATCATCTCCGCTCGCTACCCACTTTAGTGAAGACATATATGTAGTTTGAGCTAATTGTATTGTTTTGAACTTGGCTTGAGATTCAGACTGGTTGAGATCAATTAATGCCAGTGTGCTTATACCTGTGTACTGTAATAAATAGTCTCTTCCACACAAAACTGATAACATGATATATTGGCACTCACATAGAAGGTAGAGTCTTCTTTGGTGAACTTCATTTTCGTACACATTCACACATTCGTACTGATGACGAGTACGTGTACCTTCTACCAGCAGCAACACATTTTCATGAGCGTGAATGCTGCAATAAGAATACTCGTCTGCTATCGAAGTATCCAGAGTCCTCACTACTCTTCCATTTTCTTTATCAACCACACTCACTGTGAACCCATCCTTTTTCCTAGAATGGACATACAGAGTGCCACTCCCACTTATAGCCAGTTGACAAAAGTCTCCTGAAGCAACAAAAATATCTAAAAATGAAAGAAACCTGATAACGTTAAACACATCGGCTATGCTTTTGTAAAAATAGAATAGTTATGAAGCTCAAAGAACCTGAAGGCTTTGGTTTTTTCAATAATGGCATCTTCAATCAAGCATAAGATGCAATATCATCTTATCAGATGGTTATTGTTAACTTTATGAAAAGTCAAAGTTTTTCATATCAAACCCTATCTTACCTTGAATGCGAAATTCTCTTTCCTTTTGAATTGAATCAAAACTGACTCTGTACACTTTTATAGATGCCTGGTCTTCAAGAAACAATTTTTGACTCATGGAACAGAAAACAGAACTATCATAGCTTCCAAAGCTGCCCTTGGCTTCTCCTTTTTCGATATCCTTTAATTTCAAGTTTTTTCTACTCAGATCTCCTTTGTCAACTGGTGGATAACTACTGGGCGCTGGACCTTCACGGAAATAGTTTTTTGCAGCTTTGAGACTGTTTTCTACTTGTTTGTTTGAGGAAATTAAAGAGGTTATTTTCTGTTTAATGACTTCAACAAGTTCTTCATGTTTTTCCAAATCTTTCAAAGTTTTTTGCTTGAACAATTGCAAGTCTTTAACGCTTTGGCATTTTCGGATATCCCCTTTAGATAAAGCTAATTGGTCTAAGCTTTCCATTAAAGACAGGGTATCTTCATTAAAATTGACAGAATTGTTGACCAAGTTTCTGCACTTAGTATGACATTCCTCAATTTTTTTCATGACATTCCTCAATTTTTTTCCAATTTTTTTCTAAGTCTTCAACATCTCTACCCTGAATAACTTTTGACGGAACGACATGATGATGAATATGGTCATTTATCCAACAGTCTTCGCAAATTGCACTAAAACAGCCGAGGTTATTGCAGAAAAAATCCAGGGGCTTCCTGTGGATCAAGCAGGCATTCTTCTTCTCCATTAGCCCTGGTGTCCGTTTCCAATCCTGAACAAAAATTTTTCTGTTAGGTTAGCTTACTGCTTTGTAATCCCTGAGACCCATGAAGCGACTTTAAGCGACCCCGTTTGTAGCTATGTTGTGACTTTGCGCGACCCATTTTTAGCTATGTTGCGACTTTGCGCGACCCATATTGCAATTTTGCGCAACTCAAGACTCTGGCGGGAGTATGGAATTTTGGAGTTTCGCTGAAATCAAACTTCGGCGGCGCATTTTGGCCAACACATGAGTAGCAGACTTCGACCCGGGTCCCATTACTCAAAATGCAAGCTATGATAATTCTCACTTAATTGCAATCAAAACCAGCTGATCAAAAATCAGTAACAAGGGAATCATACAATTTTTTCTTGCTTAAAAAATTGTTTTCACGTCTAAGGTTATCTGATGACAACTTAATTGAGCTATAACTATCTTGATGCTCTGCATATTTTTATTTCAAGCAAATGTTTTTGAAAATCAAATTTCAAAAAGGGCGTTGAGATTTTCTTTTTTTTCTTCAATTTTTCCCACATACGTCGCGAAAATTTGATCACTTCATTCAATTTTTCTGAAAGTTACTATTTAACAGTTATGGAGTTATGTTTATAGTTCGAGTGTGATTTTGTTAGGGTATTTAAGGTCGACGCTATTTTCAGCTGACTTTAATGTCGTATTTTATGACTAATCAAAACATTGGTCGGCAAAACACTTGGAACAAAAAAAAATTATGACTCAAAAGAAACACATAATTACAAGAAGTTGTATTTTTTTCGTGTTCCAATTTAGTTGTTATAAATTACTTAATTCAAAATTCTTGGCAATTTTTTATGTTCTATTTAGAGCAAACTTGGGCGATATGAGCTTTTTTTGAGACCAACTGCTTCAAAAGTTTTGATTCAAAATGAGCGTAATGGTCAATTTGAGCGGATTTTACAGAATATTCGGTCGTTTTCTGAGGGGTTCGATTAACAAAAGTTTAAAGACAGATCATCTTCTAAAAAAAGGGGGACAAGCCGCTCAAACCACTCGTTCTGAAATTAGGAAATAAGGTTTCGCGGATGTTCTGCTCAAACAAATCGCCCAAAGTATCGTTGGTTCAAACCGCTCAAAAAACGTTCAAATCATGCTTGAAAATGAGACTAAAATATCAAAAAAGGTTTCATGTGGTACCACTATTGCAATTGAAATTGGTCAGGCTGTGTAAATTGGTCAGACCTAAATCTAGAAATTAGAAAAGCCTGGCCCCTTATGGCTGCTTCAAGGTACCCCGTGAATTTTCAATGTGCAAAAAATAAACTTCTAAGACAAAAAAAATATTGTGAAAGCTTTTTTTTCTTAAATCGGCTCAAATCTGATTCAAAAGCCACTGAAACCAATCAAAAATGGGAGGTTTTGAATGTAATCTCGAATCGGTAAAATTATCTACTTATTTCAACGTGTATCAATCGATGATTCTTTAACTAGTATGAATACATCATTCAAGGACTTAAGTCGCTGATAATTTTCAAAAAAAGTCAAACCTCAATAGCAGTTTGACACTTTGAAAAGTCAAACCTCAATAGCAGTTTGACACTTTGAAATGTCAAACCTCAATAGCAGACTTTAAGTCGAAGTTCACCGATAGATCAGTTTCGTCACGTATTGCTTCATCAATCGGCTTATCGGCTTTCTGCACTTAGCACATCGTCTAGGTGCACTTGCTAGTACTTGTTCTATACACGTCTTCGGTGCTGAGCAAAATGAGTGCCCACAAAGAAGACTTTTCGGATTATGTAGTGGGTCGAGGCATATACAACAGTGAGACCAGTTGACTTCACTCATGTTTCCGAGGTTTCGATTCAAACCGAGAGCCAAAAAATTGTAAATTCACTCCAAAAGTTGAAACAATCAGATTAGTTCGTGAGCAGAATTAATTAACGACACAATGGTGTGTTGATTTAAATTCAGTGCTGAGCTCTGTTTTGTAAATTACTAGAAGAACAAATATGATCGCATGAGCGGTGAAAAACTATAAAATAATATTAACTTATGTGTACTTTTTAAACTAAAATTTTACGGTCTTTGCTCAGTTACTGAGTTTCAATTTGCACCATCTGCAGAAAAAATTATAGCGCACATTCATTTATGAACACATTTTATAAACTTTGTGTGCACAAGCAAAATGGTAAGGCTATTGCTTAAAGCAACAGTCCGTGAATGTTTTTATTCACTAAGTATAAAAACGTTGAAAAGTCAGAGAAAAGATGTCAAACCAAAAAAAATCACCATTCGAACAAGCCAAAAAATTAGACTGTTACGCAAAATAACAACAAATTTTAACAGTTGTTACGCAACTGTTACGTAATTTTGATTTAGTTTTTTTCCATTCTAATATAATTTCGGCTTTCAGATATAGCGAGTTGTAGATATGGTCATTTTTTGAATTTCCGCCATATGAATTGTTCTGATAAATATCTGTTTTTATCTTGAATAACGTAGCTTTAAAGTACTTGACTATTGCTAATGTGCGACTATTCAGAAAATATTTTCAGTATTGAAAGAGGAATAAAAGGTGTATTAGGATCAGAAAAAAATTGATATCATTAAACCTCTTGCTGTTGGAAAACTCTAAACATTGACGGAGAAAGTGACAAAATACTTACAAACAGTTTATTTTTACTCACATTTCAGAACCTTAATGAGTAAAACCGACCTTTTTCTACTTATTTAATTAAAATATTGGTGCTTCTGGAGATTTGACGCTAAAAATTGGAAAAATAGTTCAATCATGATCGGCAAAGTTTAATGTTTTTTTAATTTATTCAATTTGCTCATTCGGGATAATTGACGCCCGAAATTGACGTGGGTCGCAGATTTGACAAAAAGGTCGTGTAAGGATAGTCTGGGTAAGTTGTTATGAGCTACAAAAAAAATTTAATGAGCGAAAAATTTTTCACATGTAAGCTTGGTATAAACTGAGATTTCTCCGGAAATATAAATGAGATATTAGTATTATTAACTAAAACACAGTAACAGAAGATTGAAAGAAGTAGGAGAACTCAAAAAAAAACAAAAAAAACGATCGGAATATTGAAAACAATTTTCAATTATCAAGTTTCGAAGAAAAAAAGGATCATTTATTAGCTCTTGGAGAAAATTTTGCATGATGAGGTGTATTGTTGTCAATGAACTGTACGCCATTTTTTGTAGTCGTTGTGTTTTAAGGTGAACTAGCCCCAAACCAAACGTAACCAACAAACAATTTGAAAAGCAATCTCAAGAAAAATTTTTTAGATACAATTATCTGAGCCAAATATTTTGAAGAAAACTGAAGCCGCGTGACAGTTTAAATAGTGTCAATAAACGCAGGAGAATTTTAAACAAATCCTGAAATGAGAACAAAACTAACTTGCGATTTTGATTCAAAATGTAAGAGCTGAATAAAAATTTGACTGAAAATATGGCTTGAAACATAAACACATGGCTTTAATGGTCTTTGAAATAATCAATTTATGATTACTTCTTTTTCCTAGAAAATAAACCGATTCATGTAAGAAAAAAAACATCCCGTTTTGAAACTAGAAATTGATCCTGTTATGAATTGTCACCTATTACGAAATATCGTCCTACCAGTCTAAGACCATTCTGATGGTTGGTCATACACTTACAGGTGTTCATCGAACACAAAAAAAGACTTCCAATAATGCCTTCGAATTGGCGACACACTTCTGTCGTTATTTATGCATTTTAAGCCTTTCCGTGAAAAAAAAACCGAAAAATAATCAGGACCTATTAAAAGAAAAACACTTATTTCTCTTACTCATAAAATATATCTACTCTGCTACCATCTTTTGGAAAAGCAGAGAAGATTGAAGTTTACCAGTTTGATCAATTTGTGATTATTATTGCACCTCCGTCTTTTTAAAGCGGCAAATTTATTGCAAAAATGAACCGCTGATAGCAAAATTGAACCGAAAATAGAATAAGTTATACACAATGTGAGTCATTTCATTTCATGGGAGTTTTAACATTTCTAATATTTAATTTTGCAAAAAAGACAGTTTGTTTCCATAAGGCCACAATTCGTAACAGGCGACAATTCGTAGCAAGGGACAATTCGTATCAGTAGATTAAGTGGGAACACTGATTTACGCGCAAAATTCCTCTGGTTCCGGATGTTAGAGCAGCAGAGCGAAGTGAAGCAACCGTATTCTACTCACCAATGCCTTGTTACGAGTTGTCGCTTGATACGAATTGTCACCTGTTATGAAATGTCGCCCTATTATTTTTGTCTATTTTCCAGCTCTCAGGCCCTCTCCGGTCTAAGACCACTCTGATTGTTCGTCACACACTTAAAGGAGTTCATTTTCCAGCAAGTATGGCGGTATCAACTTTTTAGTTTTGTCTACTTTGGAATAACTAAATCTATCTCAGAATACGTTCCTTTTTTACTTGAAGCACGCTATTTGCAGTTAATCAAACGTTGCCAAACGCCAAATACCACACTATGTACTTTAGATATAACCTCAGAAAAAATTGAAAAAACTCTTTAAATTGTCTTTATACCATAGTTATATAAGTTTGCGTGTTTCTTAAAATGATGGCTTATTGCTTGGACAGCAAGGTTCAGTCGGAACATTCGGAGTTTTCCCTGATACGAGCAACTTTTGTTGTTGTAGTTTAGTTTTAAAACGAGCTTGATTAAGTTTTGTTGAAGTTTCGTGTTGGTGCAGTTATTCACAAAGAACCTGTCGACCTTCTCGAAAAAACTCACAAAACAAATTTTTTTCAATAGTATCACC